GAATTATACATCGTCGATCAGATAAATAGGGATAATATAGTAAAAGTCTCTTAAATTCATTTCATTGTGTTAATGGGATAATTTTCATTTTGTGGCTTTTTCATCGTTTATTTTATTATTTTTTTAAACCTTTATTTAAATTGAAAATATTAAAAAATTTTATATTAGACCTTTTTTGACGAAAAAATAGAAAGCACAATTACAAGTATTGAATCGATATCATCGGCAAACATATCATATGAGATAAGATTTTAATCGTGAGTCGTACATTGGTAAACGAAATATTGACCTACTTAGATGAACCAATCGTCATTTTATAAATATTTTCCTTTTGATTTAATATTAATATTTCTAATTTGTTCAATTTTGTAAAAATTCTTCCGCCGAGGTTAAAACAAGCAGAATCGAAAGCGTATAATTTTATATACTATATAATATCGAGAAATAAATATTACTAAAATAAAAAAATTCAAATAATTATAAAGTTAAATGAAGCAGATAGTAATTAATATTAGCAGGTGGAATCGAAAGTATATATTTCTATACACTGTATTAGCATAATGATATAAAAATATCACGAAATAATTAATTTTAAAAAAAGGAAAATAATTATAAGGGTAAAAGAAGCAAACTCATAATTAATTTTAAATGTGCAGTATTATTTTACATTCTTATAATAATAAGTGTGGCATTTATAAACTTGAATAAATTTATAACGATATTTATAATATGTTAGTAATCATATTAGGTTAATCAATATACCAAGTACATTTATTTTGATTTGTCCATTTCAAGGGTAGCACAATTTTGCGAATTTGTCACACTTCAAGTAGAAGCAGCAGTCCGAATTCTTGTGACACTATAACGTTAAAAATAACAATAATTTTAGATGAATTTTCTTATCGCTACTTGTAGCTTTACTGATTTCAGTGAACATATTCATTACTTTCTATTCGTTCGAACGTTTACCTCGTAAACAGCGGTGACTCGATCGAGGAAATAAAGTGTAATTGAATAAATACGAGTTTGCTCAAATATTTACCAATTTAAAAAAAAACGCTACAATCTCGCTTGTGTTCGATTTTAAAATAAATTGACCGCGAAGAGTAATGAATGGAATACAAATTTTCAAAAAAAAAACGTTCTAATTGTACATTAGTAATGAAATTATTAATGAAAATAATTACCGGAGCAGCCTGATGACCACATCCAGCCAATTGTCCTTCTTCATTCTCTTGCAAGGTTGGTGCAGCCGAGATAAATTGAACTGCGATGCATAATGTTAATGCAACGACGAATAAGAGAAGGGTAATCTTTGACATCTTGATAGGATTCTATATCAAATTATACGATCAATAATAAAATAAAATTTAATATTATTAAGAAAAGAACAAAATTTTTAATACATATTTATCGATTAAATTTAAAGTACAAAAATAAGAAACTTTTTCTGAAATACTTACTGTGTCTATCGTTTTGTTTGTAGACTTATGTTTAGTTTCAATAGCTACTCCGATATATATATATATATTTGAGTCACATGCAAAAAACGATATAATTAAACTGATACAAACACAAACACGAGTTCTCATAACAATCAAAATATTTTAAGGAACTTGTTTTGGTATTTTTTGTATTCTTAATAAGTGTGTGTTTAACTTTTTATTTTCGGAGAAGACCCGAAATACATATAAATCTAACGCACTCAGAGATCATAAAATACGATATAAATATATTTCGTTCGTGTACATCGTTCTAAATATTAGGGTCGCCCCGTCTATTTATTGATAAGTATCGCCGAATACGGTAAAGTACCAGTATCAGATTAAACACCGAGCGATCATCATCTTATCTAATTTAGTAAAAGAAATATCCGTAAGTAAATTAGTATCATTGCAACTCTTTATTTCATATTTAAAAAACCGTTTTTGTCTTGCAACTAGATAATACTATAACATAATTTTAATAAATGTATGTGACGTCTATATGTTCCCATAATCATGAAAGTGGTCTAAGTCATATATATTTTGTTCCAAGATATTAAATGGGTTACATTTGAACATTAAATAAATTTTATATCATATTGAAATAATAAACACTATCTAACGATTCATTTTTGATAGTATCGTGAAAATTACATTAAATTAATTTAATTTAAAATAATATGGTGTGAAGTAACTGATAAACTCATTTATTTAAATATTGACTTAGACTACTTTCATAAATATGGGCACATATGTGTATGTAGTTTTATTAATTGTAGATCATTATAAGTCGTCTGACGTGACGAAAGAAATGTATATTTCTGAAATAGAAAATGCATCGGTTATGGGATTTGCATTGTCTTTTCCCAGAACTTTGTTTAAAATAGAAAAAAATAAAAAAAATCTCTCGCGATTTGGTGTTGGTGGTAATCGTCTATTACGTCTTTCGGGCGGGACGTCAAGGATAATTGGCGTAGCACGCGGGCGTAATATTTCAGAACACCTGCCGTGTAGCGCGCTCTCATGTCAGGCGACCTATCAAAACCGCTCTCTAAATTGACTCAATTGTCGTTGCCCGAGAGAGAAACCTCCTCGTTCGGATATTTTCGGTCGTCCGATGAAACCATCAACCGCGGTTGAGAATTTATCTTTTTTCGTTAACTAGTTTCCGATCTTTCCTCGAGAAATCGAATCATTTCTAGTTTATTGTTTTCCCATAACAATCTTACAATTATATTTTACCCTGACCTCTATCCGAGAAGACAAGTTTACCGAGAATACGACATTTTCGATGACCTTTGATAACAAAAAATTTTTTTTTATTCTAAATAAGATAAGAAGTGGAAATACCAGATTCGCTTTGCATCATCGGAAAATCTTCGATATACATAATATTAATAATTTATCATAACTAAAAATTTATATTATCTTGAAAAAAATGCTTATTATTTTCTTCTATTTATAATAGTATTGATCATTATTTTAAGTGTGTCATATATATATTTAATATTATATAATTATTGTATATTATTTTTAAGAAATCATCTACGTGTATATGTTTGTGACAAAATACACCCATGTAGATAGATAATTAATTGTTTAAAAATATCAAAAAAATATAATTAGTGTGAGAAATCACACTATCATCACAAACATTGCAAAATATTATTATGCTTGTACGTATTATATATAAATTTAACAGATCGTTCGTTCTCTCATAATATTTAATTTGAGTCATTACGTATTTCAAGGTCGCTTTCGAGGAATAGATAAAAGGAACATCTTTCATTAACTGTATATGCGCTTTAAGAAATGCTTCATTCGTAAACATGAATTGCGTTATGTAATCACCGTCATAAGAAATTTATTTTCTTAGTTGAATCTATTGTACACATACAAAATATTTCTTTATTTTAAAAATTAAACTATTTCACGGTTGGAAATAAAAAATTGATCTTGATCACGTGTAATAAGTATTAAATGAAATTCAAGTATTTCTAAAAGTAACATTTGAATCAGGATCGCGTGCTAAAAGTATTTATACGTATATCCTTAGCCATAACACGGGGTTCTTTCAGCACGCACTTCCGCTATACATTTCCTAGCTAAGAGTGCCTTTCCGTTTACCGTAAGAAACCATTACGTATTACATATAATAACATTAGCATAAACGCCTTTTAGGGGAAAAGAAATATGCTTTGTCGACAATCATCGTCACGAGGTTTACCATTCATGGATTATCGTATGTTTAAGAAATTAATGTTCTCTATTAATTAATAAATGTACAATTGTACATACGTCTACATACACGTGTGTTTGTTGTTTTATCGGAATGAAAATTCTTCAAATTAAGACCAGTATTGCTTAGTTCTCAATTTTTTTTACTTGCATTAATAACAATGAATTTAATCATATTTAGAAAAGACTTGACATTATTTCGCAAAATAGATCATTCTTTGAAGGTGAACAAATATTATAGATTTAATCGTAACGCTGCTTATACCTTGATATTTATCAAGGAGAAGTTTGTAGAATGACTTTATCGATTGATTGAATTATCTAAAGAGAAAATCAGAATTCTCTTACATGGACGAATATATCACACCCAGAGTGAGTTAAAGAACAAGAAGGGGAAAGGAGAGAAAGAGAGATAGAAGAGAAAGAGAGGGACAGTTCGTCCTTAGGGATATCGTTCCCCTCAGGCGTAGTCGCTTAAGTGATAAATCTTAGCCGCTAACGTCGTCCTGTCTTTCGTGGTTTTGCCTCGCAGGATCTATTGCTCCTTTAGTTAGTGCTTCTGTGGTACTTGGACTTACCACCTCAACGGCAGCAGGCAACGTACGTTCTTCTTCGAAGCACATAGTCGCATCTCCTTCAACTCTCTCTATTCCTTTCCTCTCTTTTCCTCAGTCGTTTTACGCCATCTCGATGGTTCTCTTGACTAGGCTGAAGTGCCGGACAATTTGATAATTGGATCTGCGGCAGCGTCGTGATTTACGTGTACGAGGGTCCAGCTGACCATTCTGAACACGACTTAGAGAGAGAGAGAGAGAGAGAGAGAGAGAGAGAGAGAGAGAGAAAGAGAGAGAAACATGTATATATATATATAGGTGTACGTGTATGCGTATGAAAGATAGAGAGAGAGAATGAGAGACTGGCAACCTAGAAGCACTGCTAGTGGAAACTACGCTTCAGTAGACCACCATTTCCACTAGCAGAAAGTGGCTCGAGCGTCTTCACTACAACGAACTAGCTGAAACTATCGTGGACCATTGACTAGACACTGTTTTAGGATATCGCTTGCCAATTACGAGATTATGTAACTTGATCGAGCAAACGAATGAAAAACACCATCGATATAATCTAATGAATTCTATAAAGTTTCGAAAATAGACTAATTGTAAGAATTAAAAAAGTTACGTTATTGTTATTGAATTTCAACTTTTATCGGAAAGATTATAAAAAGAAAAAAAATAAGGAGAAGGATTAATTTGTAAATTTTAATGTGACAAAAAAGATAAATGTATTTGTAGTAAGTAAAGAATAATAAAAGATGCTCTTATATGGGATAATATAATATTGAGTATGGAAGTTGTACGATTATGTGTAAGATCGTTTTCAGTAGTAAAAGTCCAGGTAGAGTGGATTATTTTGTTTCTTATTCCAACGTCGGTATGTTCTACGTATAACTTTTTCTTTCTATCTTTTCCTCTCCTAGGAGAACAGCGCAACGTGGGTTATTAAGAAAAAAGGAAACGACGAAAGGCAAAAGACTACCTCGGTCGTAGTAAGCAAAAGAAGGAAAATCGTGCCAGGGGAGACTGGATGAGGGACAGAAAGAGAAAGAGAAAGAGTAAGAGAGAAAGTGAGAAAAGGGATAGTAAGAGGAAAGAGAAGCCAGCACAAGGAAGGATAAAGTTTCGCTTTACTCACATTATTTCCGCCAGGAAACGCGTTTTCGCGTTATATCCACTGTCGTTTCTTTATACGTTTGAGTTGTTTCACAGCTGCGGTGTTGGTCCTCGCTTTTACAGGCCTTCATCTTTTTTTTTCTTTCTTTTTTTCTCTTTCTCTCTATCTTTCCCTCTCTTTCTCTCTTTCTTTATTTTACTCTTTCTATTTCACCCTCTTACACTATCTTTCTTTTTATTTTTTACTGTAAATTGATCCCCCTTGGCAATCTCGTGTCTTTTTTCTCGCACGAGGAAATAAGACAGAGGGATGAACGTGCTGACGTCGACAAGAGGAAAGACTTCGACGTGTAGAGAATTAAAAGTCCAACTATTCAGAAGGACGAATTAAGTAAATGTGCAAGTGTTATACAATCAACCGTTGGAGATATTAATTATTGCAATATATTAATTGAACGTTTTTTTCTCACTTTTTATTAGAGCTAATATTTTATTTTTGTAGGTATTGTGGCTGTGACTTTTTATTAATTCATTTAATAATCGTTTATTGACCGAAATCGATAAATCCAATACTTTGTCATTAAAATTATTTGACTATTTTTTCATTATAGCAAACAACGATTGAACGAAATTCGATTAAGATTTTTATCAGAAGGATTTCGAAATTTTTGATTATTTCTAAATTGCGAGAAAATAAGTAAGTGTAAAAGTAAGACAGTAATATTAAAAAGTCGAAGTTACAATCTTCTACAAATCAGTTTTTCTTCCTCAAAAAAAAAAAAAGAACGTAGGTATCCATCGTAATAATCTTTAGATAAGATAAAAGAAATCAGTTCTGCAATGGAAGCTTAGTTATATCCTTCCTACTATAATTGTAACTTTACTATCTTACGTAAATTTTACAACCCTTGATTTCCATGCATAAACACGAGAGGAAAAAGTCGTACTTTAAAAAACTTCTCGATTTTTCGAATTACAATGTCTGCTAAGGGTTAAAATAGTCAATTCAATTGGTTCTTCTCATCTTATATACGATAAATAAAACCCGCAAGACATCGAGATAAATCAGATTAGCATCGAATCTTTAAATTAAACGAATATTTGCGAGAATAATTCTATTATACGTTTACTTTATCAAAGGAAAAAAATATAAAAGAAAGTAAGTATAAAAATATAAAAAGTTTATTAAACAAAGAGAAGAAAGACAAGAAAAAAAATAAGATTTCTTATAGATACGTTCAAAAATAAACAAAGCGATTTAACGCTATAGTTGTAATTGTGTAAATTAAACAAATTTACACAAATGTAAATATTATACGCATGTACATCTATTAACATGAACGAACGGATAAGAAGGAACGATTAGAAGAAAATAAATTCGTAGTACGAGGTGGGCGAGAAAGGGAGTGGTCTTAATTTCCTGCCCCGACATCAAGCTTGCGTTGGTGAGTAGCCGTCGACATTTTTTAAATCTAACAACCGACTCAGCTCTTTTAAAGGATTCTCTTCGAGCTATTTAGATTATTATAAGGACGAGAAATGGAATGAGGAGCGTCAAAAGGGTGACCATTCGTTCCCAGCCATTTCCTAGCAATTTCCTGACGCTGTTTTTCATGTGAACTTTTGAACTTGTTCCTCACCTCCTCTTCCCGCTATCACTCCTTCCTTTCTACTTCTCTATGACCATTCCTTGTGTTCAGCCTACCAACCACTTTTCCACTATAAAATATCCACTAAGTAGTCGTGGCTAGTGAAACTGGTCAGTTATAAATGGCCATACGAAAATATAGTCGGCTTTTGCGGATTGCACAGATGTGGCTGGTATCCTTAATGCTTCTCTTGAACGTTCCGCGACGTTCACGCGAGAATGTCTGCTTTTAAGATAAACGATCTTTTAGACGGAAACAAAAATTATGTAATATATATATAATAGATAGATATGTACATATATAAAGTATATGAATATAAGAATGTTTAAAGGATTCTGTACATAGTTATTTAAATGGTTGCAAATGCATATTACGTAGAATATTTTTCGTAAATACATCGGTACATTACACATATACATTTTATTTTCATACGGAATAGGAATTATAACTTCAATTACGAAGTTACACGCAGTAGTGTTACATAAATTATCACTATTTCCTAATTTTACGATGTAAATTTAACAATTATTTACCGCAATGAACTCGAAAGTTTTGCCATTTGTGAACATCTATGTTGAATATATATCGATTATTAATTATACTTTTTTCCCTTTATCCTACCTCATGCCTAATTATTTCCGAACACACGTTCTAATGATGAAGTATGGATGAAGAATTAATTAATGACAGAATATAGTTATCACAAATTTTGATCATATTTGTAACGTCACGTGAAATTTCCTTAAATATTTTATTTAACCGAGTTCTTTATTTCAAAAGAAAAAAAGCTTTATAGAATATTTATAATCATGTTTTAAAATATTTCTTTTTATTTTTCATACATTGTATTATTTATAAAGCATGGTTCGAAACAAGCCTTTAATAGATATGAAAGATAATGGAAGGTTTGATATTCGTGTTATAAACACTTATGTTAAAATTTCTAATCGATATAACTGAAAACAACAAAGTTTTATACGTAGCAACATAAAATGTACTTCTTTTTCGTGATTACGTTTTAGTAATTTTAATAAAACATTGTACCGGTAATTAAAGATTGCTTTGTTTACACAGAGTTGAAAACTAATTAATAACCTTTTTAATTATAAAATATATAAATTAATTGCAACAAATAGAAATAATGATTACGGGCCGTTACCTCTGCGGCTAATAAATAAATAACAAATAATGTAAATTAATTATTTCCGTAGTCGACATACGCTAATGTGACGCGCACATTTGTAATCGGGATCGGTTCATACTCTCCTCCCTTTATTGACTCCTCTCTTTAGTCTTTACAAGATTGGCTATATAACATTTTGTGTATATCGCTTTTATATTTGTTTGCACTTGATATTCGCACCTGACAAATAACCGATCATTGATTGAAGTAATTGCGTGAGTTTTCCCAACGTTTATTTATCGCGATATTTATTATAGATTTTTACGTTTGTTTAATTATTCATATATTATTGAATAGTTGACGATTTTTAATTAATGACGATTAAACTATAAACATGCACAAACATTTTTAAATATAAAATATTACATTTATCTCCGATTTAAAGCCATTAATTCTACCGTTTCTCATTTCTACAAACAGAAGTTATTGACGAAAAATGAATTAGTCTTCGTTACTTGTAATAGGTAAACGACGCTTTCTCCGTTTTTGAAAGACTAAAAATCGATCGATGCTGCTAAGTCAAGGAGGGTGGTCAGCCTTATTCATGTGCATACGTGTATGAGTGTATGTATGGTATAATGCATGTACATAAGCACACGTGACCATTGGTACGCGGAATTCATTGGCCCTTGAAGGTCGGAGGGTAGCACTTTTCAGATCAATGCACCCTCATTGAAGGGTTGCTTCCAGATCTTGCCCTTTCAGTATCTACTCGTTTAGGGCTATCAGAGAAGATGTTTGGTATCATTCGATGATGTGATCCTAACTCTACTCGATACCTATTATATAATGTAAAAAAGACATTTCTTACACACTTGAAGAAATGCACGCATATATTGTACACATAGACATTTTTGTTTTCAAAGGATTTTTTCTTTTATGTTGTCGTTTTGTAACGTATTAAAAAAAATAAAAAATTTTTTATTCTAATATTAAATTATGTATCCTCAAATGTAAAAGGATTTACGTTAAAAAGCATTGTCAAAAGTTAATTGATAAATTAATTTTTAGATTACCACTAGTGCGGTAATAATAAAAATATTTGGATTTTTGGTAATTTTTTGTTTTTTTTAAATAGTTTTTTTTTTACGGATGCTGTGTAAGGATCTTAAAATAGACAGAATATTTGCCGTGAGCTTAGACTTGCGGGAAATCCGTGGACAAAACTTTGACTGTGCATTAAGCAGATCGCTGGTGCCACCTGTCGTTAAGTGTACGAACCACGGTTTGAAAACGCATGCGCAATCTTCCATAAAATACAAAGTATAGCTAGTCGGTAAAGAAGATTCCTAAAAGAATCCATAAAATGATAGAAATACAGTGAAACTTTATTAAATGTTATGACCTTGGGGATTAAAAAAAAATGTAAAAAAAATTTAAAAAAAAATAAGAAAAAAATATAAAAACTATGGAAAAATGAAAAAAATTCGTAAGATTGTAAAAAAAAAGAATAAAAAAAATTATCGATAAAAAGTGAGTTTCGATCGTAAAAAAAAACTTGTGCATCAGCATGATCTTCCCTCGGTGCTGGTTTGTTTGTAGGGTTGCATTTAACAGGGGTATTTCCTGATTATGGAATTAGAATAAGAATTTGTACTATTGAACTTATACGCAAAAGCTTCCGATCAATTATACAACTATCGAGATAGCATTGTGCCAACTAATTTATGTGAATTCGTAACATTTCTCTCTCTCCTTCTTCCACCAACATGAAACCGAACATATTGAGTGTTGCTTGCGTTACCTCGTGTACATTAATTAAAATTATACTGCAAGTAGGTGCGAAACAAAGATCTGTTGGTATAACAATCTAACCATGAGCGTTCACCCTTTTCCACCCCTACTCATCGATTCTCCAATGCGACCACGGATTCAAATTGAAATTTTACCGTTAATGTTATTGATATTCCGTTAGTCCGTCTCGCTTTACATTCAAATTTTAACATCGCCTGGGTTGCAGAATTCGTACAACTGTCGGCAAAATGACGTACGGCCATGGGACCGGCTCGCACTGGATATCGGGTATCGATCAGGAAAATCACCCACGCACGGAAAAAGAGAATAAAAAAGAGAGAAAGAGAGAGAAAGAGCAATAAAGAGAAGCAACGGGAAAGGCTTATAGCCTGTGGGAAAAACAACATTCCTCACAAGCGCACACGTTTTTACCGTTCTCTTTCATAGATCAAGCTCGGTTCGTACTCTGTACCTATTCGATATCGTACTTTTCAAGACTGTTTCGTGAAAAATCATGATCAGGTAAAGAAAGAAAAACTATTAAAAACGTGAAGAATATATATATAATATAATTACGAAGGCAGAAAAATATTGGTGTAAAGTATGCAAAAGATTCGGATGACTATTGGTCAAAGGTTGCTTGAACGACAGGGAGTTAGTGGGAGTGGAAGTGATAGCGAGCAACCGATAGGGTCCAGTCTTTCTCGTTTGGCCAATCGATCGAGCTGAAAATTTCCGACCCTTAATTAAGATAGCGAGAGCACTTGAGTTTTCAATTAAAAGGGAAACGATGCTTCTCTATCGCTCTCTGTTTCCTTTCGATTCTTTTTTTTTCTTTTCTTCGCGTATCTCTTTTTCTCTTTTTCCATCTGACTTTATCTCTATTTCTATCTTTCTCAGTTCTTCCGTACGATATATTCTTCTCACTCGCATTCATTCATAGCGTCGTTTTTCGCTCCTTCACAGAGTCTCTTTCCCTTGTTTTATTTTGTCCTGCTGATCGAATCGTAACATTAAATGCAATTTCGTACGATAGATCCTAGAAGAGTGCTCTTCTTCCACTCATCGGTTCTATACGATTTGCTTTATCCATCCTTCCGTCACTCTACGACTGCGTGTTTGAAATACACGCGACATCCTGTGTACTAAATCACGCGCATACGAGGATCCTTTGTAGAACAATATTCGAGAAATTGTTTGTTGCTTCGTTACACCGTTCCAACGCTTTACTAGTATTCTGTTCGCTATAGGAATTAAAAAATTTCGATACACTCTTTACCCTATTTATTTTCTACTCTTCAATACGATATTGCTATTGCATTTAAATCTGTATTTCTTTTGTAGATGTTAACAAATTTATTTGATATTGATGAAAATAAAAATATAACATAAGAATTTATGTTATTAATAAGAATGTAGAGCATCGTATAATTTTTAATGAGAAGGATAGGTACGAACACTTTCTCTCATGTGACTAGTATCATACCGTAACATGGACATGTAGCGAGTAGAAAGGAGAGAAGAGAAGAGAAGAGAGAGAGAGAGGGTAAAGATAATCGCAGAGAAGGGGTGGTATTTTTAGCGAAGCAGGTCCGTCCTCCCTTGTTGCTATCGGCACATGATACAATCTATCTCTCTCGGTCTCACTCTGTGTACAGAGTTAGCCCTCGCGCAATGCCAATTTTTGCAGTGGCAGGAAACACGAGCCGCGTGCCGGCGCTCTGCCGCTCTTTCCCACCCACACACACGCACCACCAGCCGGATACATACGTCCGATGATACCACAGCACCATGACCATGGGACACGGGACTGATTGGGGTGTGCAGACGAGCTATGCAGTTTAATTTATGTTGCATCACCAGCCAGTCGGACGTGTATCAAACTCCTACGGCCGTCCACGACTCGTTTTTCTCTTCTTATCCTTGACATTTTTACTTTCTTTCCACCTTCCTTCGAGGTGATACTCTAATTGTGTATACTCTTCAATTTGGCGTGCTGGTGGTCATCTAACTTTGCGTGCTTTCACTCGTGACATTTCTATGTGTAGTACGTATATACGTGTGTCTCTCTTCTTTCACCTACCCTCTCCTTCGCTCTATCTTTTTTGTTCGTAACAGATACCACGCACACACATCAAGCTCTTCGTGTAAAAAAGCTCCTGCGATTACAGGTTCGTAGTCAGCCATATTGGTTTCGTTCTATTCCAGTTTATAGTCTTTTATTTTAAATGCTACTAATTTATCACTTAATTACATTCGACAATGTTACTAATATTTCAGTTAGAGTAAAGATTAGTTAGAAAAACTCGTTTCTTTCGTATCTCTGTAAATTTTTTCTCTCTCTCTCTCTCTCTTTTTCTCTTTCTCTTTCAAATTCGCAGATGCAAAACGCGAGAGATCAAATAAGCGATGAAGAGGCACGACGAGTTCGAGTCGCTACGTATTTACGATACGGAAACGGAATTCGAGAAAGAACGTGGAGGAAAGCTAATTAGCGTCGATCAAAGTTTTCCAGGCGTAATAAATGAACGGTCAATATTTGAATCGGGGACGTTCCCTTTCCCCCACTGTTCCTTCGATTCGCCCTCTTTCATCCTACGTTCGTTCGTTCGTTATCAGTCTGCTCCTTCCCCTATCTATCTTCGACTTCTTTAAATCCTTTCTTCGCTCGCATAAGAGGATGAATCATTTTACTATTTACTACTAGCTCTACGAGAACGTTCACGATAGTCCACGAAATATTTTGCTCGTGTGTGCTATTTACTGTATGCAGGACTCCGAGATAGCCGATGATTAATGTTCCTTCTTCAAGGTTTATTAACGAGCCGTCTACCCCTTAGACCACACGTTCTCTCGTATTGAACAGCTACCTTGAACGCTTTTTCGAAAATCTGACGGTTAGTAGAAGCACGGGATATGCGTTAATGTCCTTTTCGAGTTAGTCTCTCAACTAAATATAGCTAAAAGGAAACCTCAAATCATCATCTTTTTCTCTTTTATTTTCTATCGTGGAAAAATAAATATTTTATTACTTTACGCACGTTCGACAACTATGCTTTTTCTCTCTCACTCTCTCTTTCTCTCTCTCCCTCTTTCTCTCTTTCAATATGCGAGAGAAATTAATATAAATGGAATATTAATTTTACCTGTTGCGTAACAATTCTAACACGGATATCGTATCTCGCCTGAAAATAATCATTTAATTAAGTATTTTTATTGCTCTACCAATATCGCCGCGGTCGTTACCCGTGTTTATTATGTATCATTTATAAAATTAAGCGCTGGTAATCGGTACGATTGAAATCGCACACCCTTGAAATTATCCGTCGATCGTGAAACTACGGATGTATTTATCAGGGTCACACGGCCATCAGTTTACTATTTATTTTCACTTTGTTTTTCTTTTTGAATTTTATTTTATTTGACATAATTAACAATGACCGTAATGTAATTAAATAAGCAATATAAAGAGAAAAAAATAAATAGGAAACATAAATGAACACGGTAACAGAGAATTTATTAAGAAAGAGAAAATAAGATTGATCTCTCTTTCCAAAAAGAAGTATAGAACGAGTCGATATAATAATAGTAAAAATTAATAAATAGGTTAGGATGATGGGCAGACAGGGACGTGACTTCTTTCGTTTGAAGTCGGCCACGACGACACGCCATAAGGTACCGTATAAATAGACGGTAACCGAATCCGATAATAGTCAGTACGGTCAATTAAGATGACCGACGGTAAGGACCAATTAAACCTAAGTGCCTGACCGTCCAGGTTCAAGTTACGTATTTACGATCTAAAATTATGCCTTCTCGAAGCACGTTCTAGCATCCATTATGAGTCTTATGATTCTTCACGACTTCACTTAAAATTTAATTTCTACGAAATATTTGATTGTTAATGTATACATAATAGTCGTTCTTTTAAGAAACATTCAAGAATTCGTAGGAGCATAGACGATGGACAATAACTCTCGGGAGGTTAACTCGAGCGTACGGGAAAATCGAGCTCATCGTTTTCCTGCGCGTGACCTTGGTGATTAATTGTTGTGTTAATTGAAACGTTCGCTTAATAATTACACCGAGAACAACGATGCGCGATTCATTTAGCAATCATTTTATTTTGTGTGCGTACGGCCGGCATCGTGTACTCTGGCCCTTCAACGCAAACCCACACAGTCATACGTACTATGCCGACACGATAATGCGGAAAATTCTGAAAATGAACGGTGACCGTAGATAATGACCGATTTATATTCGATTTTCGGCATTTCACGAACGATTGCTCGCGGGGTGGCGAGGGATATTAGCCACGATCAACGATACACTTTTGCTTTTCACGAGAAAAGCGCGAATTTCGATTCTGTCGGATTAGATAAATGAATGGAAGTGTGTATTACATCATTTTAGACATACTTATACATGTACTTATGTGTGCTGTGAATTCGTACACATAACTAAACGTTTCTGTTTAGTCATGTTCAAGCCACGTCTTCCGAGACATATATTCTTTCGACCCTTTTTTCTGTGGTTTTCCCACGACCACGAATGGCCGACAAACGAGTTTCTGCGATGTCATATAAAAATAAAAATAAAACCGAGTAAAGGAAACAAGAAGTGGTTATTAAATATACCTACCACGAAAAGTGACAAGAACGAACGTGTAAGTTACGTCGTCATGTTTCTCGTCTCTCGCTTCTCTAGACATCGTATGTTCTATTTAAAGAAAGTCACGCTTTCTAAAGATATTCAACGTCGGTCGTTTAATTACGTTTTTAAGTACTTTTCTATCTACGAGAAAAGTAAACTCGTGAATATTTTTTCTTTTTCGAGTGAAGTTTTCTTTAGGTTTGATATATAATACGAAGCACATAAACGATCTTCTCGTCTAATATTTCTTATGAATAATTATAAAACTATAATGTTACAGAGTAATTTTTCTCGTTTCTTAATTTACTTATTATATTAATTAATAAAAAAAAGTAAAGAAATGCAATAAGGAACAATTTCGCGAATACTTTCGTCTCTAAAATCCGATCTAATCTCAATCGTAACCGATTTCCAAGAGTAATAGGTGATCGCACGTGAAGGGTGCCGAACGAAAAACATCTGAATAGCTCCGAACGAGGAATTTTAATTTACGAACAATACCGTACTACTGGTCACGGTTAAACGTGCACGAAACGAGAAGGCCGATGCAACACACGCGAAAGGGAGAAAGAAAAAATAGAGGTAGGAAGAGAGAAGGAGAGAAGAGAAGAGCGATCTCGTTCGGGCATCGATTCTCTCAGAAAAATAAATGGCGCGTGAGTTGGCCGTTGGATGGAAAAAGTTTATTCTATTTTTTCAACGTATAAACGAAGATCTCTTAGCGGACAATAGTTTTTCTTTTGAATACGTAGGAAACGGAGGCTGTATTCGCTGATGTATGGAGCCGTCTCTCGTTGATAGATAACAGAAACTTTACAGGCAGAACTTTTTTCCCCTGCGCGTCAATGTCGACCTTTAATTTTGACCAGCGACCCACTCCCAACCGTCCAAGTGGACAAAGCTCGTCGAATGTGGCTGAAAAGGTCATTTTCGAAATACTCTGATGCCTAATGAATAACACGTCCATAGTGGATCGTTCCGCTCATTATGATGATTTTTCATTGGAACCGAAGAAAATTAGTACCGATTATTCGTTAGATGAGTCTGCGCTAGATGAACGCGACTCATCGAGAAGTATAATCGCGTTGGTAGCCTCTATGATGGTCGAGATATCGGCACGTCAATTATCTCCGAGTCGATCAATTGAAAAACCAGCTGTTGGTGATTGGCAGCTTCCAATCCTGAAGCAACATTAATAGTTTCGTGCGAAACGCCCAAATCGGTCGTCATAACTGGAAATATATTTTTGAAATTCGGATAAAATCAATAGGTCCGTATATTCAATCTCAAAAATGATCTGAAATCTCATTTGTTTCATTTTATATTAGATATTGTTAATCTGAAGAAAAACATCGTACCACAATATTGTACCGTATGGTACTATCTTTGGATTTAATATCAATGCGATTATACCACTAATCTAATATGCGGGTGGTTTCTTTACCACGATGAAAAAAGTAATAGCGAGCCGGTAGGTAATATCCTCAGCATTTACATTGAAACGATAAAGAATGACGATGTGGCAACAATTGAATAAATCCGAAGCCATGCCGGCCGGAGTAATATTTATTCCCGCAGTAGAGGTTAATCACAATTAACGCCAAATATTTGTCATGCCGATGAGAACCACGATTTTACGTGTATATTTAACCGTATCCATCCTTTCACTCACACCCCACTTTACCACTCTTTTGCTGTGAGAGAAATAATAAGATATTAGAAAAATAGAATTTTTTCAATTTTGAATATCATATGATTGTAACTGGAAATGTAAAATATTATCGGATTAATTAGAGTATTTATGAATATGTAAGATGAAATAGGGTAAAGAACAAACGAAAGTGGCATTTTTTCGAGAAAAAATATACATTTTATTTGTACAACGATGCTCCTATATATACAAAATACGAATTTTATTCGCTAGTATCACTTTAAATCGTAACGCGAAACAAAGTATTTTCCGTTATCATTGATTTATCACAAATTTAAGAAACACGAAATAAATGAATAACAGTGCGGTATTCGTATCAAATTTTCACTGATATTAATCGATGTATTCTACTAAATAAATTAATAAGAAACAGAGATTTTTATCGTATCACATAAGAAATATACCTATTAAATTGAAAAATTCTTATCAAAGTTGCAGTTTTTCAATCTCTTGCTTCACGTTACGTTATAAATCTGCCATTGGTCTGATATGTCCTCTAAAGATAATTAATAATGTAAATAAATCATATAAACAAGATGACACGATAATATAATAACATGATAACATGATAACACGTTCCGGATCATAATCATCGACAATAAACAAAAATATACACTGATCACAGAAAAACAATTTGACTTAATAAGCTTACCCGATTTTTTTTTTAAATTATAAAATATTTCGATGAATCTTTTTCTAGATCATTCTTTTACTTTGGTAAATCTTATTTTCTTATTTTCGATCTATCCTAATTACTTTTAATATAGAATTAGATATTTCGCCAATTAGAATTATTAATTTTTTTCGAACAACCTGGGGTCATTCTTCCTACTTTTTCTTAATAAATTAAATGTTCTTATTATTTTAGAGTCTATAAAAATTATCAATCGCTTAATATATGATATTTTTACGGTTTGAATATTTGACCTTTAGCGTATGGTGGAGACGACCGAGTATCAAGGAAGAAAGTTCCTCTTGTTTTTAATAATTTCTTATGTTCTCCCATGATCGTCGTCAATCTTGTGTTACAAATTCCAAGTTTATATTGTAAGTAGGAATCGCATTCTTTCGCATGAAATCCTACTTTGCTATTGATTGATTCGGCGAAAAGTTCGAAAGCACGTGCATGCGAGCATGCTCCACCTAGGTCAATTACGCAACCTGCTTGTTTCATACCCCCGTTTGGAAAGAAATCAGCATGACCAATGGGCCTCAAATACCCGAGAAGACCTCCATTTGTGTGAATAATCTCGACATAATTAGCGTCACTTTGTGAGATACGAGAGCCTGAATTAGCTGTAGTGAACCCTGGTAGTGCTGGGTCCAAACCTACAAATAGAAATTTATAAAATATAGTAAATAAACTATACGCCCAAACATGTAATAAAAATTCGATTGATATTCGACTTTAGTACTAGTAATTGTATAAATTATGTGAATAAATGAAATCTCTTTGACTTACCAATGACACTGTTAACAGTACTCTTTGCGTTATAAGCAGCCAAGCCAACTACGTGTGCTCCAAGAGAGTGGCCGATAAGAGTAGTCGTTGACAAATTCAAACCTTCTTTCTCAAGGAAATCCAACATAGTGGCGACATATTGACCGACCATCTTCACACGGCTACTAGCCCAGACATATCCTCTAGCAGAGATCTTGCTCCAATCGATTACAATAATATTGTAATCGTCATTATTTAAATATGCTACCAATATAAACGAACAATGTTATATACAAAAGAAAAAGAAAATCAACATTAAATAATAATAAAAATTATTCTAATAAGATCAGTACCATTTTGATCAGAAAAATAATTATATTGTATTTAATATTTCGTGAATTAACATAACTCACCATCTCGAACTAATGTGCATGATCTGCTATTACGAGAATTTATCCATCCATGAGTTATTATACGAGTTGGTCTGTTGAAATTAATGTCACTTTTCTTCAGTGATTCCTGATCGTTAATGGAAATTCCATCAGGATTCTTATAATTATTCTTAGTGTAAAGATAGAAAAAAACGCGATTATGTAAATCCCTTAAAGTTTCTTCTTCCGATTCATTTTCGTCTTCGTCCATGATCTTCATTGCGAGGGATACTAAATTAAAATCATCGTCGAAAACGTGTAATTTGCCCAAAAGTTCTATATCCTTTAAGCCAAATTGAACTTGATTTTCTGTATCCTCTGGTATAGAAAGACCTAAGCAATAAAATTTTAACAATATAAACAAATAATTTATATTGATATTAAACATTTATATTAAGTGTAACAATTAATTTGACGTCTTGATGATTAATTATTTATTACTAAAGTTTGAATGTAAATATTGATATGCCTGATATTTTATAACCGTCATTTCGATGACTAATGTTATCAAATATAATGAAAACTATTTCGAAAACTAACAAATGCATGATTAATTTATAAAAACATCGAATTAATTGGTGCACCTGTATATTGATGTATCAATATAATATTGTATATAATATACGCTACATGTTTTCTTTTGAGAATTCGAAAAAAAATCTAAGACAATTGCAATAATTTTCTTACGAAAATATCTTCTCTTGTAACATGTAATTGTGAAATGAATTCTTTACCAGTAGCAACGCAAAAGAACGCAAAACCAATCAGGCTGTACGACTGCATGTTTGCCGTATTTTGATTATAATTCTGTGCTATTCCTTATTTATAAAGAAATTGATAAACCAAGCCATAATACTTCACTCGTATTGATTAGATTAAATATTCTCTTTTATAAATATCAGTGATGAGATCTTTGATTGGCAGTAGCTCTTATCACTGGGATATCAACAGATTATTTATTAAGAATCAATAAATTGATAATAAAAATCATTATTTGCTTTATACAAAGAATACTCTTTTTTGATTTTTATTAACCTTGAAATTGCTAAGATGATATTAAAAATGTAGATCATTATTGAACCTAAAAAACGTTAGAAATATCTTTATAGTGATACTATCCTTTTTAAGTATGTATGTGCATGCATTTTAATTATGATCCAATAATTTATTTAATTGAAATTTCTAGTTCATCGTGCCTCGAAAAGATCTGTTACACTGAAATATTTGTGCGAGGTTAAATTCGCGATGGTTTCCGAATAACGTAAGAATTCGACCTGTTATATTCTTGTAATCGTATTTAAAACAAGGATTTCTAAGTTTTGGAAAGAATAACTTTATTTAACAAAAATTCACGTTCGGATACAGACAACTTACAAGTGTAACGRTCAGAGTAGAAGAGAGTTTTGGATGTCGAAGGAAGTCCTTTTAAAGGAAATCGGAACAAGGAATGTTCTAGAAAAAGGGTGTTCTTTACTAGGTTAAATGTTTCTTATTGGTGTTTCCACGGTGCAGTGGGAGATTACCTAAAATTCCACATTTTTCCGTTAAAGAAGTTTTTTACAGCTCAACGTAATAAAATAGAAACGGAAAGTTCCTATGTTCGGTTTGTCATCCCAACATAGGTATAGATTTTATCTACTGGGCCTAATAGGTCTAAACGGGTTTTCCAAAAGATCAAAAGAGTACACCCAAGAAGGTATTCATAGCTCAGTTCACGTTGAGCTTAACACTCTCCCCTGCTAAGATTGAAAATTATGGATTTATACAGAATTTTCATCAAATTCTGATAGTGGAATGGCTAATTTGAAGTTACATTTCCTTATCGCTGTTGGTAATTGTACATGAGCGGAAATACTTGGTTTTAGATCCCTAACTCTTTCAAAAGCTATAGAACTTTCTATGTTTTGTGAAATCTTGTGTTTTCCCCCTGAATTAAAACAGCTATTATACAAGATGATTCTTGTAACGGAGGCGGGTAATAACTTTTTTTTAAGTAACAATAGAAAAAAATCATAAAGGAAAAAGTTATATGGCACAACAAATGTCAACTATCTATGACCTTACTTTTTTGAAAATGCATCGATGCACCCGCTAGATGCAGTTGCACTTTTTTTTAAATGGAACTTTATATCTTTTTTTACACTATTCGATTTCTTTTTTTATTCTCCGTTAAAAAGTATAAATTGAAGGTCATCGAAATGTCTGTATACTACAGTACAAGGTTCTGTTGATCTTGATAATAATTTGAATATTTCGCATTTGATTTTAATATACAAAAGAAGGGTTGCCAGGAGGCCATAACCTACATAAGTTATCCAAGACTAAGTTGTTTCTATAATGGTACGAGTTCGCATGTGATTACCTATTATTTCGGCTTCATTTACTGATTCATTTAATTTCTTGTCGTATAATTTAAAGTCGAATGTACTTATTTTGATAATTCTAAAGATATCTTTACTAATTTGGTTTGATTTCTGAATAGTTCTGCGTTACGCTTGTTATCATTGTGTACTAAATCTATTATTATAATATTGCGCGTCGCTGGCACTCATAGTGCCAAATAAAATTTTGCATATCTCGCCGATCGGGTCGAGTAAACCTTGTCGACGCCTTGTACTTGCTGCTTGATGTCCAATAGAATAGTCGCTCGCGACTATCTTCTAGCCATACTTAGTTGACGCTGCAAGTTGAGGATGGGCATTTTTTTGAAGACAGCTTCCACATTTATATCGCCTAATTGCTCCAGGTAGACCGCGGGTGTTATATTGAACGTGTGAATGTGGTAGGGAGGTTCCTTTTCCTGTAGGTCACTAGATAATTGGCCTGGCAACAGGCTCATCAATATTATGATTAGCAGCATTCCTACAACAAATTAGTGTTAGCAAATTTGCACCGATTACAATGTACAAGCAAAGGTTTTCCTTTGACGCTTATTAATACGTTAACGTCGCTCGGTACGTCAAGCACTTCAGAGGGTCCCTCGAAAGGAACATTGAGGCCGGTATTTTTATCTCTTTTTTCATGTTTTAGCCAAACCATGTCTCCTTGTTTGTAAGCGTTAGGACGGGCAAATCGGTCGTATCTTTCCTTAGAAGTCCTCTTTGCCTCCTGTAATGCTTCTCGTGCATTGCTACGCATTTCCTTCAAATGTGTTCCAAGTTCTTAGATATAGTTTTCGTATGTGTTTTTAAACTCGTTTGCATGGCTACTTATTGGATTTGGTGGTGCTCCGAATACTAGTTCATATGGCATATATCCTGTGGACTCATGAAAAGAGGTATTATAATTATAAGTTGAAAATTCGATAAAATCATCCCACTTATCCTGCTGCTTGTTGCAATAACTTTTTAAATAGTCTTTTAGCATTTGGTGACTTCTTTCAAGACTACCATTACTTTCAGGGTGTATAGCTATAGTTTTTATATGTTGGATCCTTAACCGTTTCTCAAATTCTTTAATGAATTTGGATGTAAAATTTTGTGCATTATTCGTTAATATTTTCTTTGGAGTTCCATAAGTACATACGTAATGCTTTAGGAATGCGGCTGCACAACTTTCTGAAGTGTAACTGGCTAGAGGCCATGCCCAACAATATTTTGTAAGTAGACATTGCAACGTTAGTATGTATTTATTTCCGTTTTGTGTTTCTTTTAGTTATCGTACAATGTCCATAGCGATTTTTTCGTTAAAGGTAGTTGGTGTGTCTGTAATCACCATTGGCATTTTCGTTGGCCTATGATTAGCTTTCGTCTTTTGACAAATTTCGCAATGCCCTACGTATTCGCTTATATCTTTGAGCATCCCTTTCCAATAATATTGATTCATAATTCTTAGATAAGTCTTGTGGACACATCGATGTCCACCTACAGGAGAGTCATGGTTCTCCTTTAAGATTTTTCCTATATCTTCTTTATCAGGTAATATTAAATTTATATCATGTATAAATATTGTTCCTTCGGTATTTTCTATAAATCTTGTCGTCTCTCTTCCTTGTATTTACCCCGTGTCTCTTCCTTGTATGCACTTATTTCTATCTATTCTACAACTTGAAAGTGTTTTCCCTTCACCGAAATATAAGCGGAGAGTTTCAATAAATTCCTCTACGGTGCGGATGTCACATCCATCTAGCATACTTCTGGCTTCGCCAATTATTTTATTTGTTCGAACTAGTTTAACGAATAAAGTTTTTTCATTTGCGGTAAGTATGGCTAGTACACCTTTTATTTCTGAAATAAATCCTTCGACTGACGTGGTTTTTCCGTCGAATTCGTTTACAAAATGCAGATGCTCCCTTAGACCTCGAATATTAATGCCTCGGCTATTAATACTAGAGCAACTTTCTTCGTCATCCTCCGTTAAGTTTTCTCTATCGTCTATATTATTTACTGATTCCACTTTCTGAGAGAGAGACTACTTTCGGAGCTAATTTATTACACATGCTTTTCATTTCTTTATCCATTGCCGCTACTTTACTCTGTAGCCGTAGTAAAAGATCACTCATCTGATCGATTTTTCCCGATACGATTTCGGAGAATTTTTGCAATTCCGCTGCTTTTATACTCTGAGCCATTTTTAGTATTCAGTTATTTATTATTTTTCTTTCTCAGCAACAATATCTCAAATACTTAACTAACTAACTTGTCAGTAGGGATAATAGACACGTCTATATCAGTATTTGGGTAACTAAGAATTTTTATACTTACTGTACAATTGATGCGTCGTCTGCTTTCTCACATATCCTCAGGTCGACTTGCCAAACTTTGTCTTCTTCAGGACCCTCGAGCCACTGATTCTTTCCTTTAGAAATCCCACACCGTTGCCATCAAATTGTTAAGCTGAAATATTTGTGCGAGGTTAAATTCGTGATGGTTTCCGAATAACGTAAGAATTCGGCCTGTTATATTCTTATAATCGTATTTAAAACAAGGATTTCTAAGTTTTGGAAAGAATAACTTTATTTAACAAAAATTCACGTTCGGATACAGACAACTTACAAGTGTAACGRTCAGAGTAGAAGAGAGTTTTGGATGTCGAAGGAAGTCCTTTTAAAGGAAATCGGAACAAGGAATGTTCTAGAAAAAGGGTGTTCTTTACTAGGTTAAATGTTTCTTATTGGTGTTTCCACGGTGCAGTGGGAGATTACCTAAAATTCCACATTTTTCCGTTAAAGAAGTTTTTTACGGCTCAGCGTAATAAAATAGAAACGGAAAGTTCCTATGTTCGGTTTGCCATCCCAACATAGGTATAGATTTTATCTACTGGGCCTAACAGGTCTAAACGGGTTTTCCAAAAGATCAAAAGAGTACACCCAAGAAGGTATTCGTAGCACAGTTCACGTTGGGCCTAACAGATCGATGACTATTTTAAAATATTTATTATAATTCCAAGGCGAATTGTTTTCATTGCCAATATTAATTGTTATAAGAAATTATTATAAAACAATAATCGATTTTTTACAGTTTGCAATCTTACATCATATACTGGACAATGTTCTAGAAAGAATGTACTTGTGATTAATATCTAAACAACATGTTTTATGATATACCTCTATTTTGCTCTGATAATATCGCTGATCTTGTATGAGATATACATTAAAAAGATATAAACGATAAAATAACACGCGCCATCAAGAAGTAAGGAGAATAAAAGAAAGGAACTAGATAAAAATAAAGCAATCGATGAACAATTAATTAATGTCAAGATTGATAATTAAGTACTTTGATGTGATTGTTAGTTTTTAGAGTTTTGTTAGATGTTTATCTGTACGTGCTAATACTTTACAC